CCCATATTGGTATTTTGAAGATTCCAACAGATTTGCATAATGATTTTGGACTTGTACGTATATTTGGTTCGGGCCTCGGGTGCCCCGGTGTTATTTCGGCGCTTCAAATTGAAAGTTAGAATTTTGAACTTAAGAAAGTTTGAAGTTATCGATTTGATGCGTGATTCTTGGTTTTAATATTTTTTTAGTATTTTAATCCTTTGTATAAGTTTGAATAAGGTATATAAAGTTTTTAGGATGATTGGATGGGGAACTGAGGGGCTCAGGTAAGCTTTGAGGGTTGTTTCGGACCATTTGGAGCTAAGTTGAGATTGGTGGATTCTGGAGCCATGTGTATGAATTGTGATCGCCTGGCTTGTATCGCGATCACGTAGAAGGGATTGAGCTAGAGGAGATCTTTTTTTATGATCACGTGAGGAGGCTTTCGATCGCATAGCTCTGGCGGTGGTGAATCGCGATGTTCGAAATCCGAAAAGAAAATAATTACTCCTTATGCCAGACCCTATTTCTCTTTCATAAAGACCTTAGATTTAGGTGTAGAAATCTCTGGGTATTCAATATCTCAAGTCAAATCCAAGTTAAAATAACTAACCTATAAAGTTGGAGTAAAAATCCCCTCAAAAATTACCTATTCCTAAAATCTTGGTCTCAAAAATGGTGAAAATAGGCAAAATCCTAAAATGTAGACCTTAAATACCCCTCGAGTTCATTCCTTAATCGTGATCGCGACTAGTGCGTAGGTTCTTCCTATGGATTCGGTTTCAATTATGAGAGAGTTCCCCGAAGTTTTTTCGATGAATCTACAGGTATGCCACCATATAGGGATATTAATTTTTGTATTGACTTGGTGCCGAGCAACCCAGACCCACATTCCCGAAATATGAAATTAACACAATATATAGTCATATGACCTCCCGAGTTTAAATATATACTTTGTTTCCAAATCTGACCTTAAATTGATGTTTAAAATCCCAGGAAAAAATAAAATAATGACTCCTTATGTCAAATCATCTTCCTCTTTTTTCAAAATCCTTAGATTTAGGTGTTGAAATCAATGGGTATTCAATATCTTAAGTCAAATCCAAGTTAGAATCACTAACTTGTGAAGTTGGGGTAAAATCTCTTAAGCATCGCCTTTTCCCGAAGTCAAGGTCTCAAAAATGATAATAATAGACAAAAATCCTGAAATCTGGACCTTAAACACCCTTGGAGCACATTCCTTAATCGCGATCGCAAAAGCCAACTGGTCTAGCTCTTACGCGATCACGACCTCCTCCGACGCAACGATGTACTAGCTCCCTACTTTATGCGATCGTGAACCTCCTCCATGCGATCGGCGAAGCCCAAATTACCCCTCGGCTAATTTCTTCTACGCGATCGCGAGACTCAGCTCCGCGGTCGTGATACACTATTGTGTACTAGAAAACTAGCGGTTCAAACTCAATCCGAAATACTTTAAACCACCCCAAAACTCACCCGAGCCTCCCAGGACCCCGTCTAATCATCCTAACAAGTCCGTATACTCTATACAAACTTGTCTAAAAGCTCAAAATACTAAAAACAACATCAAAATCAAAAATCAAGTATCAAACAAAAAATCTCAAACTTTCATAAGTTCAAAATTCCAACTTTCAACTAGAAGTGGCGAATCAACCTTGGGCCACTCAAGACCTGAATCAAACATCTGTACAAGTCCAAAATCACCATACGAACCTATTGGAACCTTCAAATTACCAATTCAGGGTCGTTTGCCCATAATGTTGACTTTGGTCAACACTTCCAACCTTAAGTCTCTATTAGGAACAAAACATCCCAAATCACCTGAACCCCTCGGAACTCGAGCCTCTAATCCCCTTAAGTAATAAAACAAAAAATCAATCTACGTAAAGTATTAAATAGGAAAATATGATTCTAAAACTCAAAATGACTGGTTGAATCGTTATATTCTCTTTAATTTCCAATACTAAGTGGGTGTTTGGACATAAAAATTGTAAAATTCCGTAAAAAAGTTTTAAAAAAAATTTCAAGTGAAAATGGTATTTGAAAACTAGAGTTGTGTTTGGACATGAATATAATTTTGGGTTATTTTTGAAGTTTTGTGAGTGATCTGAGTGAAAATTTTGAAAAACAGCTTTTTGGAGTTTTTCAAATTTTCAAAAAATTTTAAAATCCATCTTCAAGTGAAAATTTGAAAATTTATGGCCAAACACTGATTTCGAAAAAAAGTAAAAAAATTTCGAAAAAAGTGAAATTTTTCTTATGTCCAAACGGGCTCTAATTCTTCAATTTAGTTGCTTTATCCGCTGATTCAGCAGTTGTAAGGTTGCAGCAGTCTATAAGATTTTGGTTGATAAACATGTCTTTTCTTTTCTTTTTTTACTTTATTAAGTGGAGAAAAAAGACTTTAGACTACTGGTACTTTCAATATTAGTTTTGCCCATCTGGTAATTTTTAATGTTATGTAAAAAGAGCGATTGGGTGTTTTTTACTTAGAAAATAATTCGCAGATATAGTTCTTGGAGCTCTCTGTTTGCGTATTTTAATTAATATAATCTTCGCTAGCGTTTAGCCATAGATTCCCAAATTTATTCTGAAAAATCTGATTTGGGTGAAGTTTAATTTGAAGATGGAAATGTGTTTGGACATCTATTTTGGGTGAAGTTTGGTTTGGAAAAACATGAAACATGACTTATACCCACAAGTTCTAAAAATTATCACAAATACCCAACAGTACCATTATCTATAACATTCATTATATTATCGCAAACCATAGTCCTGAACATAAATAAATTTGATACAAAATTATCATTTTTATGATGAACTACATGATACACTATCAGATGACCGAGAAGACGAAGCAACATCGTTACAAAATAATAAATAGTGGGCTCTTTTATAAAATACAAAAGTTTGGGGCAATTTTAAAAAAATATAATAGTGATATTTTGGTTGAGCTGGTTTTGGGATTTGGCCAAAATGTAAGCAAAATCTATGGACAAACATGTGTTTGCCAAATAAAACCCAAGTTTATTTTGACAAAATCTATGGCCAAACGGGTAATGTAACAGATTCATAGAATTTATTTTCCCTTTTTAGGGTTTTTAATGGATGGTAAGGTGTTGGAAGAGGCTGCTTGGCCTTGGGATATTTGGGATTATTGGACTTTAGCTGTATTTGTAAGAAGATCACTGTTTTTTTGTTTTATATCTGATTTGCTTGATCAATTTGATTATGCAACTTACTCTCTCTATATGTACGAAAAAGTTAACATTTTTGAATATCTGATTTGCTTGATCAATTTGATTATGCAACTTACTCTCTCTATATGTACGAAAAAGTTAACATTTTTGAATATCTGATTTGCTTGATCAATTTGATTATGCAACTTACTCTCTCTATATGTACGAAAAAGTTAACATTTTTGTTTTCTTTAAAACAGAAAATTTAAACATCACAGTAACTTAGTCCTTTTGTTTTATTCTCTTTTTTTTTTATTACAAACATTATGATGATAATATTCAACTATATTTTGAGCCTTTTTCACGATCACGCAAAGCACCGACAAGTATACTAGAGGTAAACTGGAAGTAAAGTATTGATTAAACTGGTATTGTGAGATACATTTTGCTACTAGGAGTACTAATTTTTGTCTTAGATAGTTTTATGTAGAACGAGTGCACATATATAATTTTAATATGACCGTTTTTGTCCCTTCATATTGTAAAGATCGTTGGCTATTTATGTGGTATTGAATGTGGTAGACGATCAAGATCGTTTGGCCCTAAAAGATATTGCATAAATAAATAATTTTAAATTAATGAGGCAAATTATTTTTGAATAATCTCTGTGTGTGTATGTACACAAGCATTCACATTTCTGAACTCATAAATTAAATTATTTATATTGGGGATTTAACATACTTATACAATTAAGTTTTATATGCATTTACATGAAGAATTTTATCTCTTCTATCTCAACTAAATTTAAAAAATGTGTTTTATTGATGGTTTTTATGACCGCACGAAGTACGGCAACTTCACTAGTTATTATAGTTATAAACTAAGAACAAAAACAATTGTACCAGATTTATTCCTCTATCTAAAGAAGACAAAGTTAGTCCCTCCGTCCCAATTTATGTGGTGGAGTTCAATCCCGAGAGTCAAACGAGTTTTTCTTTGCCCATGATTCTTTCACATACCTTTTTCATATTTTGAATTGTTAATTACTGTGACTTGAGGTATTTTTTACGTAGTTTTTAGATATATAAATCTTATTTCAAAAAACTTAAAGATTCTATGTCCGAATTTACAGTCAAAATTAAGAAGTTGGACACTCGAAATCCCAGTTCCTGGGATAAAGCAGTTTCACCACATATATTGGGATAAAAGTAGTAATAACAGGCATTGAACTAAACAATATTATCAAACTTTGTAATAGATATTGTCCAATTTTTTTCGAGGAAATATATATTTTTAATCTTTTAAAAATAATAGTCGAAAAAATATATTATCTTTTTATATGTGTATTATATACAGAAAACAAATATACTTATTTTATATACTTTTTGGCTAGAAAATACAATTAATTGTTGCCGACCGACCAATTGTCCCTTTTTTTCGTTTCGTCTTGGCATATAAGAATGTAATGAGCCTGCCCATTTTTCCTTATGTAAGAATTTAACCATGCATTGAGAATGAACGAATTATTATGGCACCCGGCAACAGAAGAAATAATTGTGCTTTCGCTTGCCTGGAGTAAAGCAGGTTGTTTCTTTAAAATCTTTATACCCTCCAAAAAGACAAGGATTACCAATCTCTGGAGTCCGGAGCAAGAAAATAGAGCAGTATCAGCAGCAGAAAGCGTCCTTGGTAGGGGGATCTGAAAAAATGTTAGCAGGGATCATAGTGATCCGGAAGTACCGTGTGGAAGGGCTCTCGCTCAAGGGATAACAGCCCGGATAACAGGGTAATGACTCCCAAGAGCTCTTATAGGCGGAGTCAAACAGAGGAAGGATCAATTTACATCAAATTCAATAATCATAAAAGCACATACCTACCTGACCACTTTAAAAGTCTTCAACGTTTTTATCCTAACAAAAAGCTATAGGTTGACAAGAACCTAGAACACAAATGTTTGTAGGGCAGTACAAATAAAATTGGTATTGCTAAAATAAAAATAAACATTAGGTCCAACCAGAAAAAAGGTTTGATCAGTCTAAAGTTCGACCACGCATTTTAAGCAGTGGTAGCTGATTGAGCAGCAAGTCTCTTCCGTGCCTCTTCAATGATGGACAACTTGATACCTTTTCCTTTAGGGAGGGATACCCATGGCTTAGTACCTTTTCCGAGAGTGAACACATTTCCCAAGCGGGTAGCAAACTCATGCCCTTGGGCATCTTGAATGTGAACTGTCTCGAAACTACCCTTATGCTTTTCCCTGTTCTTAATAACACCAACACGCCCCCTGTTTCTACCACCAGTCACCATGACAACATTTCCGACATCAAACTTGATGAAGTCAACAATCTTATTGTTCTCTAAGTCCAGCTTGATGGTATCATTGGCCTTGATGAGAGGATCGGGGTAGCGGATTGTTCTTCCATCGTAAGTGTTAAGGTATGGAATACCCTTCTGTCCAAACTGCACAGATCGGACCTTGCACAGCTTAAACTGTAATTAGCCAAAAGAAAATTAGTAATTACTCAAACAAGGCAGTATTGCACAATCCTACAAGCTGGAAGCAATCAACAGAAAATGAATTGTTCCAAAGTACAAAAAGATGCAGGCTACTTTCTCAAAGTCCATAGTGCAAAAATCAAGAATGCATCAGAAGTGAACCTTGGCTTCCTCATCCCTAACTGAGTGAAGACGAAATCGGCCCTTTGTGTCATACATGAGGCGGAAGTTCTCATTTGTCTTAGGAATTGACACAACATCTGTATGTCAAAAAGAATGGGCATTACTAATTTGAGGAACTCAACCAACTAGAACACAGAGGAAACAAACAGAACATCAACAAAAAAGGTCATTAACGAAAAATGTTCTTTGAAAACTGAACATTCTTGATTTGAAGATTCAAATCATTGCAGTATTACTCGAAGATGCAAAACCACACCAAATATGAAGGAAGTACTCTTACCCATAAAGCCAGCAGGGTAAGTCTTATCTGTCCTAACTTTCCCATCAACCATAACAAGTCGTTGCATTAAAATTGAAATGACCTCGCCGTATGTCAGAGCATACTTCAGCCTGTTTCTCATGATAATGATCAACGGCAAACACTCCCTTGATTTGTGCGGACCAGACGAAGGCTTGGGAGCCTACAGAAGTAAAAGAGACAACTCTTCAAGTAAAGAAGCAGGAACACATCAAAAATTACTCACCGGTTACTATGATAATTGATGTCTTACAAAAGCTCCTCCAAGCTTGTCAAGCATCCAATGCTTTGGGGCATTGAGCCTCTTCAAATGTTTCTTCAAACCTCTAGCCTGTACATGAATATAAAAACAAAGTTACATTTGGCAATATCACTACTGCATGTACAACATTTCCAAAGAGTTCAGGCCAGCTATTTAAGTCCACTACCAATAGAAAATGACAAGCATCTGAAGCCAACTGTAAAATTCAAAATCCATCAATGTCAAGAGATCTCATGCAGTTATTCGAGATAGAATTAGTTAACTGCATCCTTAGATGCAAGGATAAGAAAATTATCTCAAAATTTGTACTTAGTGAAAACGATTTACAAGATATAGAAATAATAAATTACTCAATAAACTGTAGGGGGTAAAGTTCACAGAATAGTTAAGCATTGATTGTAAAACAAGTTTTGTTAAACCAGCACATTAACAATATATAGATTGTTATAGAGTGGATTATACTGCCAAAATTCTCATCTACGGATTGTGATTCAAAGTCATTAGCTTTAAGTATTTTGTTTATTAGTTCTCAGTGAAGATGATATTTTACGAGATATAGAATACACAAGGTTCGTTATCCAGCAAATAATAGTACAAAGATTGTTTTCTGGTGAAATACCAAAAAAGAATTGTCATGTAGGGATCTCGACTCAAAGTGAAAGATTAGCTTTAAGGAATCATTTTAGGTTCTCTTATCCAGGTAGTACTATTCCACATTCCATTGGCATAAGATAATACATAGATTATCTCTGTTTTGAGAAACATAAAGTAACATACATATTTCGGCGCTAAGTTGTGGTAGTATTAGTAAGGCAGAGTTTTATAGTGGAAATCAAATATATATTAGTCATATAAAATTTATATTAGTAATGCAGATTATGCCTTCTTTATACAGCGAACCAACAACAACAATAACAACATACACAGTATTATCCACACCAGACGTTACCCCTACTTATCTTGTGAGGATAAATAGCACAATAACACTAAATAAAACAAGTATAATGAGAAAAAAACGACCAAAACTCTAATGAGAAGCAACACTAATTTTATCTAACAAATGTAAATGGATATGTTGTGGATCTAGAATAGAATATCTTCTAATTTAACAAGGAATAAACTGGAGAAAGAAACGAACCATTTTGGTGGTCTTTAGATTTGAATCAGCAGCCTCACAGCTCCGCCACTTTCTGCAGTAACTAAGCTTACCTGCTGCTTCGCTGATGTGAAAGCCTCCTTATAAACCCTAATTTTTAAGCTTCGATGTCTCCTTAAATACTTAGTCCAAGCCCTTCTTAGCCCAACTCTGATTTGGGCCATATGGGACTGCCTTTTGGTTGAATTTCTGATTGGGCTTGTGTACACAACCATTTTACGCACGTTTTCTCCGAGAAGATTAGGAAAAATATTTATTTGGACAATTATCCTTTAGAACCTTTTTATAAAGGGAAAACCAGTGACATAAGCCAAAAATAGACATTACTTATCAATAATTAGCCATTAAATGATCTATCTATCTATATTATTATTATTGATGGACTAAAATATCCTCAAAATCTTGATGGACTTTTATACCCTTAGAATATAATTTTTATCGGATAAAAGTGTAACTTTTAAGACCCTTCTTTCGAATTTAGGATTTTGAATGTAACTTTTTTGCAATTACTTGCAAAAAAAATTTTATCATTACCTGAAAGATGTAACTTTTATTTTCCATTGAAGAATTCCTTGAAAAAAGAAAACAAAATCAAGAGAATAAAATCCTCTATAATATATTACCTATTTAGTTTTCGGTTGATCGATCTTCGTAACTGCATTCAACCCCGATAAGACTTTTCCATATTTAAAACCATCCATGGATGTAATTTTCACCTTATCGTAACAAAAATCAACATCAGTCCAAGCGACTCAATTATGCACAAGATTTTTCAAAATCATCAAAGTTATATTTCAAAGTTAAGAGTAGCAACTATATACGAAAAAACATATATATAATACAAAGAAACTACAATATTAGTATCCATTGGCCTCATGACTATGAACGTATTAAAGTTCAGTTTTCACAATCTCTGTATATAACAATGATAATAAAAAATCATAATTCAATTTTTACAAACCCGGAAAGAAACATCCATTCAAATCTAGTTCCCATATATCAAAATCTACATCCCAACTAAATGTTGATAGACTAAAATATCCTCGAAATTTTAATGGACTTTTATACCCTTAGAATATAGTTTTTTATCGGATAAAAGTGTAACTTTGAAGACCCTTCTTTCGGATTTAGGACTTTGAATGTAGTACTAATTCCTTCGAATTTGGGTTCTTACTTAAATTCAGTTTGGTACACAACTAGGTCAACTAAATCCATCTAAATTACGGCAGCTCCACTTAAACAACTCAACATATCATTGCCGCTAGAGATTTTGAAAGCTTAACCTTTTTGATAAAGGGATATCAATTAGATATCATTTTTTCTTGAATTCTATTTTTTCCCGTAATCCAGCATATTATATGCAAATTTTATGTTGAACTACGTCCTCCTTTTATACCATATATATACTTTATAATGCTTACTGGTCAGATGCATGCTGTTATTTTCTTTGCGGTAAACACCACTATAGATTTGAAATATCGCCTTGAATTTGGTAGATAAAATTGTGTACGGTCAAAACCGGTTCTCAGTCATAAAGACTGATCGAGACAATGACGTTTCAATCGAAGGGTATCCACACGACAAGCTCGGACGAATTCCGAAGTAGGGGCGTCGAGCTTTGAACTATAAGACAAATCGACGGCAAAACTCGATATCGTTATCGAGCCCGTGTCCGAATCGGACTACGGGGCAACACTTATCGACATAGGCCCTGAATATCGATGCCCCAAGACAGAATCGAGCTCGAACCAAGATTGGGGGTTCGATCTAACACCGAGCTCGAGCCAGTGCTAAGCTCGCAGACAAGAGCCGTTACAACGGCATCGAGAGAGAGAATCTTGGCGACGGGCTACATTGCATCGAGTTCGAATCATTCACTCGACTGCCAAGCCTACGGGCAACCTTTATTTCGAGTTCGAGCAATCACTTACTCGACCATTACGCCTACGGGCTACATTGCATCGAGTTCAAATCATTCGCTCGATTGCCAAGCCTACGGCTACCTTTATTTCGAGTTCGAGCAATCACTCACTCGACCATTATGCCTACGGGCTACATTGCATCGAGTTCGAATCATTCTCTCGATTTCCAAGCCTATGGGCTACCTTTATTTCGAGTTCGTCGAGTTCGAATCTCGACCATTATGCCTACGGGCTACATTGCATCGAGTTCGAATCATTCTCTCGATTTCCAAGCCTATGGGCTACCTTTATTTCGAGTTCGAGCAATCACTCACTCGACCATTAAGCCTACGGGCTACTTTGACTATTACGCCTACGGGCTACATTGCATCGAGTTCGAATCATTCGCTCGACTGCCAAGCCTACGGGCTACCTTTATTTCGAGTTCGAGCAATCACTCACTCAATCATTATGCCTACGGGCTACATTGCATCGAGTTCGAATCATTCTCTCGATTACCAAGCCTACATGCTACCTTTATTTCGAGTTCGAGCAATCACTCACTCGACCATTAAGCCTACGGGCTACTTCGACTATTATGCCTACGGGCTACATTGCATCGAGTTCGAATCATTCTCTCGATTGCCAAGCCTACAGGCTACCTTTATTTCGAGTTCGAGCAATCCCTCACTCGACCATTAAGCCTACGGGCTACTTCGACTATTACGCCTACGGGCTACATTGCAACGAGTTCGAATCATTCGCTCGACTGCCAAGCCTATGGGCTACCTTTATTTCGAGTTCGAGCAATCACTCACTCGACCATTACGCCTACGGGCTACATTGCAACGAGTTCGAATCATTCGCTCGACTGCCAAGCCTATGGGCTACCTTTATTTCGAGTTCGAGCAATCACTCACTCGACCATTACGCCTACGGGCTACATTGCAACGAGTTCGAATCATTCGCTCGACTGCCAAGCCTATGGGCTACCTTTATTTCGAGTTCGAGCAATCACTCACTCGACCATTACGCCTACGGGCTACATTGCAACGAGTTCGAATCATTCGCTCGACTGCCAAGCCTATGGGCTACCTTTATTTCGAGTTCGAGCAATCACTCACTCGACCATTACGCCTACGGGCTACATTGCAACGAGTTCGAATCATTCGCTCGACTGCCAAGCCTATGGGCTACCTTTATTTCGAGTTCGAGCAATCACTCACTCGACCATTACGCCTACGGGCTACATTGCAACGAGTTCGAATCATTCGCTCGACTGCCAAGCCTATGGGCTACCTTTATTTCGAGTTCGAGCAATCACTCACTCGACCATTACGCCTACGGGCTACATTGCAACGAGTTCGAATCATTCGCTCGACTGCCAAGCCTATGGGCTACCTTTATTTCGAGTTCGAGCAATCACTCACTCGACCATTACGCCTACGGGCTACATTGCAACGAGTTCGAATCATTCGCTCGACTGCCAAGCCTATGGGCTACCTTTATTTCGAGTTCGAGCAATCACTCACTCGACCATTACGCCTACGGGCTACATTGCAACGAGTTCGAATCATTCGCTCGACTGCCAAGCCTATGGGCTACCTTTATTTCGAGTTCGAGCAATCACTCACTCGACCATTACGCCTACGGGCTACATTGCAACGAGTTCGAATCATTCGCTCGACTGCCAAGCCTATGGGCTACCTTTATTTCGAGTTCGAGCAATCACTCACTCGACCATTACGCCTACGGGCTACATTGCAACGAGTTCGAATCATTCGCTCGACTGCCAAGCCTATGGGCTACCTTTATTTCGAGTTCGAGCAATCACTCACTCGACCATTACGCCTACGGGCTACATTGCAACGAGTTCGAATCATTCGCTCGACTGCCAAGCCTATGGGCTACCTTTATTTCGAGTTCGAGCAATCACTCACTCGACCATTACGCCTACGGGCTACATTGCAACGAGTTCGAATCATTCGCTCGACTGCCAAGCCTATGGGCTACCTTTATTTCGAGTTCGAGCAATCACTCACTCGACCATTACGCCTACGGGCTACATTGCAACGAGTTCGAATCATTCGCTCGATTGCCAAGCCTACGGGCTACCTTTATTTCGAGTTTGAACAATCACTCACTCGACCATTACGAGTCACTCTTCTCAGTGAGGCTTCGAACCTCGGCATCATGCTCCTCCCTGATTCGGAGAAAAGCCTCGTGATGCAACATCGAAGCCTGCAAACAAAAGGTGAAATATTAGAATTACCTACAACTCTGTGTAAAAAAGTGGCGAAAACGCCATCAGAAGTTACCCGATTCAAAGCATGTTGGGCCTCGTTGAAAAGACAAGAAGCCCCTCCGCATTCATCACTGATTGATCTTCTCCGGTCACCAAGGACCGAAGGTAACTGGCAATTCCCACAGGGAAGAAAATTCGGGTATCCTCGATAAAGTCGGGTACTATAAAGACGCATAAGATGATCGAGCATTACATACGCCATGGTCGGGGTCGATAGAAACGTCAGCATAAACTTGATCGAGTCGCAGGGAAATCATATCGTTCCTCGCCACATCCTTTCTGAGAAACGAGGGGACTATCTGTGTATGGTCAAAACCGGTTCTCAGTCATAAAGACTTATCGAGACAATGTCATTTCAATTGAAGGGTATCCACACGACAAGCTCGGACGAATTCCGAAGTAGGGGCGTCGAGCTTCGAACTATAAGACAAATCGACGGCAAAACTCGATATCGTTATCGAGCCCGTGTCCGAATCGGACTACGGGGCAACACTGATGGACACAGGCCCCGAATATCGATGCCCCAAGGCAGAATCGAGCTCGAACCAAGATTGGGGGTTCGATCTAACACCGAGCTCGAGCCAGTGCTAAGCTCGCAGACAAGAGCCGTTACAACGGCATCGAGGGAGAGAATCTTGGCGGGAATCAAGGCAGAGACAAACCATCATGGGTCCTCCACTATATGTATTATTTTATTATGTTGTTATAGATAAAGCAGTGACCCTCTACTATAAAAAGGGAGATAGACTGCAATAGACCGGCTGGGAGAGACATGGAGATTTCATTGTGCTTTTTTTCTTTAACTCATTCAGTCTTCCTGTTCATTATTCCCACTTTATAGCAAAAATACTTGTATTGTCTTTTTGTATCAAAGGAATTTGCATACCCTTAGAACCGCATC